CTTGAAGGTTTTAGTTCCAGAATTTCTACTGGGATATACAATGTAATCCCAGAATATAAGGATGCCCTTTCATTACAATCACTTTGGTAATCCAATTCCTAAAGTGGGCCTTCTAGACAAATATGTTTCCTTCCTAACAAGTTTCCCAGGGAAAATGACATTGCAAGAAAATTTGCTCTAATCTTAATATACATATGATTTGGTTCTGAGATTAAAAAAATGCTTCTATTTGTACTCACACAATGTGATCATAGGTATCTTTATGAACATTCCAATCTCTAAGTGAAATCTAGTTTTCTAACTCTGAAAATGGGCTAACCCACACTATTTTGATATTGTAGCAGAAAATTCATACAGAACTCTCCCTAAAGCACCAAATACACATATAGTTAATTAAGGTGCCATTTTTTTAGTCTTTTTCTTTCCAGCAACTATCTATGGTGTATTAAATAGGTCTTAACTATGTATGACATGCAAATACAACCTCCACTCCTTTCAGTAAAATTTTATTCTGATAATGATCACTAAAGTAAAGCAATAGAAATAATTTAAATTTCACCATCTTCTATTTCTTATGCCAAACCCCATGGAGTGGGGAAAAAGCAGGAGAGAGGAATGTTTTAGAAAGGAGATGGAGGAAGTATTAATTACTCTATTTTTAATCTATTCCCCTTTTGAAAATCTCTTTTCCTGAAGAGGGGGGGAGAAATGGCCATTAGATTAAATTGCATTTAGTTGTTATAGTTATATCCCCTCTTTCATCCAAGAGTTCAGGTAGTTAGATCCTAGATAGTCAGTTTCTAAGGTTGCAATTTTACATATTACTTTTAATATTAATAATAATTTAATAATAATTAAACGTTATGGCCGCCCACTCCAGTAGACGCTGGGCAGCTCACAAAATCCAAATACATAGTGAAAACAGTTAAAAATATAAAAAACCAACAGTCCAGACAAAAACAGACAAAACAATAAAACCCCAACACATTAACCCAAAGCCTGGGAACAGAGCTAGGTCTTAAGGGCTTTCCAAAATCCTAGGGGAGTGGGCGCTGTCCATATTCTGGGGGGGATGCTGTTCCAGAGGGAGGGGGCAGTGACAGAGAAAGCATACTTCCTTGGTCCCACAAGATGACAACATTTAATTGAGGAGACCCAGGGCACACCCACTCTGCCCAAACATAACGGGCGGGCAGAAACAATTGGAGATAGCAGTCCCTCAGATAATCGGGCTCTATGCCATTAAGGGCTTTATAGATAACAGTTTGCACCTTGAATTGCACCTGGAAGCCCACTGGCAACTAATGCAGCTTGCATAGCAGCAGTGACACATGGACATAATGAAAAGTGCATGTTACTGCTCGAGATGCTGCATTTTGAACCAGTTGAGGCTTCCAGATGGTCTTCAAGGGCAGCCCCATGTACAGCACATTGCCATAGTCCAATTGTCAGATGACCAGGGTGTGAGTGACTGTCCAAAGGGCCTCCTAGTTGAGGAAAGGGCACAACTAGTGCACTAGATGAACCTGTACAAAGGCCCTCCTGGCCACACCTGCCACCGACTCTTTGAGCTGTAGCTGTGAGTCCAAGAGGACCCCCCCAAGTTGCACACTAGTCTCAAATGAGGAAGGGTAACCCTATCCAAGACCAATGATGAAAACAGCCCCAACCCAGGGAGGCCGAACAGCCAGAGCCACTCAGTCTTTTCCTTTGAGAGTTTTATTGTATATTTTGTCTTCTCTGCGCAGGAATTGTAAATATATATGTTTAAACAATAATTTTATTAGGCATTGCAAGTGAAAAGATAAACACTGATAGAAACTAGAAAAAAGAAAAATTAGAAAGTGCAGAAAATAAAGGAAGAAAGAATAGAAAAGAAAGAGAAAAGAAAGAAAAAATAGGAATATAGTAAAGAAAAAGATATAGATAGACAGAGATAGATAGATAGAAGTAATTTCCCCCTTCGTAACAGTATAAAGAATTTTAGCAACTTATCACTTTCTCATAAAATACAACAGATGATCTCTTCTTCCCATATCTTATCTCTTATCTATAAACAAAACTTTAAAACCTTGACATTAAGTTCTGGTCAGCAAAAGTCCATTAAGGGTTACCTGAGATAACAACATATCTATTTTAATCTTGATCAAATAAACCAACTTTATATTCCTTTTCTTTACTTTTAACAATCTTGATTTTTAATCCCTTCAAATAATGCCCTAGAACTTGATTCCTTTTCTCAGAAAATCCTTCAGAATTTTAACAATCCTCTTTTGTAAATCCAATATATGAAAGTTATCCAAGGCACTCTTCTGGTTTGTTATTTGTATGTACCTTTTAATTATTAAGACATCAGACAGTTTCATTTGTATATCCAGTATATCATCTATTTCCAGATCATTCTTGTAGCCTGTCATTTTTAAATCCACATTCAAATCAATTTCAGTCTTGTCCAGTAGAACGTGTTCCCCTTGCATAACATCATTTACACACAGTCCATCTATAATGGCAGACATTCTTAAAGTTAACTTCTGAGCCCATGGTTCACAAATATCTTTCAATATGTCCAATATTAAATATTTCACTCCATTCTGTGTTAGCAAGTCAAATTTAAGTGTACTTCTTCACGTGTAATCTTTAATTCCTTTTGGTTCTCTCTAGTGTCCAACTTTCAAAGTCCCATCCCATCATGTTTTTTTTCCAGAATTCAAAGTAT